TTATTATGTAATTCATTTGTAGTGATTGAAATATTACTAGATTTCTTTTGTTCTTCATGTGTAACAGATTCATTTTGAACATTGACTGGTTTGATTTTTTTTCTTGGCGTTTTCTTTTTTTTTGTTTTTCTACCATCAGCATCTGATGTTAGAATTCCAGCCCCTACCATTTCTCTAATATCTGTATCCCAGTGTTTAATAATCTCTTTTTTTATCATTGACTCAAATCCATTAACTGAACCCCAATCAGCTTGAAGTTTAGGTAAAGGACTAGATGAAGGTTCTTCCAAACATTGTTCAAGTTTTTTTGGGGTATCACAGAAAAGTTTTGAACGAGTTTGATTTCGAGTAATATTTTTAGGTTGAGGAGTGCTAAAATCTAAACATCTTATATGAGTGCTTCTTCGACGAGGTGTACTCATACTTTTATTTTTTGGAGGTTTTAGTCTATCGTCAGGTGTATCATGAATCACATCATTAACTTTAGATGGAACTTCAGGTAATCTTATATTATCATTAATCTCGATATGATTTTTTTCTTGAATTTCAAATGAATTTTGATTAGGAACTTCAATTATAATTGATTTAGGAGTTTGAACAGGTAGTTGTCTAGTTATATTTGTTCTCCTAAATTTACTCCTTATACCAGGAGCTTCTAACAACTGTCTTCTTCGTTTTGGAAATATATGTTTTTCAGGAGCTGAAAACAAAGAATATTAATAACTTAAAGGTATAATTAATAATATACAATATATTATTGTTATATAATACATATTAGTGAAGTTTGTATGAATCCCAAAAAGAGACAACTCATGAGGGTATCGGTATTCTTGTCGTATACAGTCTACCTCATGTTTCTACATGTCATATGCGGTCTACCGCACACTTGCCATCTACCACACATGTTTTTATACGTCATATCAGTGGCGTAGCAAAAAAATTTGGGCTCCYCCGCAAAAATAAAAAATGGACCCCAAAAATATTGTTATACCAAATATAACCCTATAACCAAAGGCCCCAAATTACTATGTTCTCCCCTGCAGCGCAAGGTCTGCAAACTCTTAGTTACGCCACTGCGTCATATGCGGTCTATAACATACTTTTTATACGTATCTAATTAAATTATGGTAGAATTTTATTATATTATATTTAATTTTTAATTAATWAATTATTTTTATTATTATTGATATAGAAATCACATCGTTAAGATAAAACTTAATTGTCTTTGCCGTCGAATCGTTGAAAATGATCATTAGTAGATAAAAAGTGTGTAGACGTGTGGTAGACCACATATGACATTATAGGAACATGTGCGGTAGATGACAAGTGTGCGGTAGACCGCATAGGACAAGAATACCAGAGTATCAAGTAAGAATTATTTGGGATTAAAAAGTTTTCAAGTTATCATATCACCACTTTACTGTATTATCCTTAGTACACAGTTAAACAACAYTAAAACTACTAGTTTAAATTTTAATTTTGATACTTCAAAATTCTTAAAAAATATCTGCTCAATTTTATTAAAGTGAAAAAGGGAGGTTCTTATTTGAAAAGCAGATGTTTGTATTGACATAAAATCATTATTAAGTGGTGCAAAGAAATGAAAATATGGTCGTGTATTTAAAAAYTTGAATTTGAATTTGAATATAATATGTATAATTTAAGCATACAAATAGGGGAAGCATGCTTAAAAAATTCATCCAGTATATATAATTAAAAATAAATATAATTTGAATAATAAAATATTAACATTTAGACATATCAAATGGTTTATTAAATATTTAGAAATAAGTTAATTAACAATTAACAAACTGTTCATACCTTGATGATTCATTAACATAGGTGTTATTTTTGGAGCTATTTTCACATAGTCAGATTTGGCAAAATAATCTTCTCCTAAACAAAAAAAATAAACATTGCATTAACAAAAATATATATAAATTTAACATAACATAAAGATGGCATTTTGGTGAAATTTGTCCTGAACTTATCTTATATAATATTAAACTTATAAATTATATATTATATTATATTACATAAATAATCCTGTTTTTTATAATTTTGATAAAGATTAGAAATTTTCTACTTTCAACCCAAAATACCAACTAGTTTCAAAATGCTACCAGAAACTACTAACAAACTTGAAAATTAAAGCAATTTTTAGCTCAAAAAGGTGATGTAAACCAAAAAAATAAAATAT